AGGATACAGAACATCTTCAACATTTTTTAGGATAGATGGATGTTTTGATTTTATAGTTGCCAGTGCTACAAATTCTTCTTGCCACAACTATGTAGTACAAAATGACAGAATTATATTTAGGGCAATTTCAGAATTTGTTGGAAGTTCTCTTCTAATCCCAAGTCAGAATCTTTTTGGATTTTTTTTAAATGAAATTCAAGCCTGAAGCTCAAACAGCTGTTTTTAAAGTCAGCCATTCCAGCTTAGCGCGGCCAATGCAACGGTAAACCGATCCGATGCTTACACGTTGAGGACTAATGCTAGGGAATTATTAAACGTTTTTGTTTTCTACAATTAAACCATTATGGTTCCTTAAGAACTGAAAACTTTATATGCGTAAGGAAAACAGTGCAGTTCATAATATCTAGCGGTCTGCAGTCTGAGTGGAGGTGTTTTGGGAAGTGTTCATGGGGACTGTTGGGTTGACGACATGTATGGTATTTACTGTACACACTGTATGTTCAGACCAGTGCTGCAGTGAAGTTGCATGTTGTAACACAGGTGAGGGCCAGGAATACCTTGGGATTTGGCTTAATTTCTGGTCATTGTGTCTTAAGAAACCTCTTATCTTGCCAAACTTTTCACTAGTACTAAATTTGGTTATATGATTCTATATAGGGTCGCAACTCACAGTTTAAGATGCCATGGCTTAAGGAACTGTATACAGGAGAGTCCCAGGCTTGGAGAAAATGGCATGTTCCAACCAATTTAAAGTATCATTCTTTGATGGCTTCACTGCTTCCTAAAAACATAAGAAACGAAACTTTTTTTTGTGTGTGTGCTTTACAGTGGCCGTCTTGCTACTCTGGTTTTTATATTTGCTGACTTAATTATCTGTGAAGGTGTATTTGAAAAGCCATGTTAACCAGAGAAAAACACTACTCCCCCAAACTTATTATTGCATAAAGAAATTTTCATCTTCTTCCTGAGAAGGGAATAGAAAAGGGAAGGCAATTCTAGTGTTTTTCATAATCCGTCCAAGGAAAGAAAGAGTTTTCCTCACCGGATAAGTTGGGGGAAGAAACTCTTTGGATAGTCCTTCTGTTTCTGCTGTGAGGTTCACGCTGTTGGGAGTCGTATGTTGGGTTTTCTCATATATGTAACTTTTTATACACACTGTGAACGAGCCCTGAGCTTCCCTATTTAGCACTCTTCACAGTAAGGACACATCAGAGCTCCAGGAACCTTCAGCCTTCATAGCCCTGTTGCAGCTCTGTTACGCTTTTTACTTAAAAAGTTTTTAAAAGATGTGTATTTTAAAAAATTTTATGTGTATGGATGTTTAGCCTGTGGGCATATTTTTGTACCACAGTGTGTGCATTGCCCACAAGGCTGACAGAGGGCATTGGATGCCCTGGAACTGGAGTTACAGATGATTATGAGTCTCCCTGTGGGTGCTTGGAAATGAATTTCAGTGCTCTGAAAGAGCAACCAGTGCTCTTAACCCACTCTACCATCTCTCTAGTCCCGACATTATGTCTTAAATCCTTTTAGTTTCCTGACTTTATAGCCTCTGCTTGCAAACCAGTAAAAAAGTCTTGAGCTGAAAAAGCCACAAGAACCCTTAGACATATTTCTCAAATCTTTCCTTTTTGGGGAATCTTAACTTCTTAAGATACAAGCTGCTTTAGTAGCCCTCCAATGCTTTCCAAGAGTTGATTTTTTTTTTTTTGATTTTTAAAGTTTATTTGGCCTTTCTAGTTTTTATCAGAGGAAGGGTTAGATTGATACTATCTAGAACAGTGTGTTGACTGCTATCTCTGACCCACAAGGTCCCATAGCCATTTAGTCTCAAATAAACACACAGAGGTTTACATTAATCATAAACTGGTTGGCCTAGTAGCTCAGGCATCTTATTAATTAAGTCTTACATCTTACATTAATCCATTATTCTTGACTGTGTTTGCCACGTGGCTTGGTACCTTTTTCGGCAAGGCATTCACATTCTGTATCCTCTGCATCTGGGTGATGACTGCAGACTGAGTCTTTCCTCTTCCCAGAATTCTCCTATTCTCATTGCCCCACCTCTACTTCCTGCCTGGTCGCCTTGCCTATACTTCCTGCCTGGCTACTGGCCAATCAGCATTTTATGAAATTACAATTGACAGGGTACAGACATCATCCCACAGCAACAGTGGGTCATTGAAGTTGTCCGTCAGCTACTTTGGGAAGCTGCCCAAATGCCAAGGGCATTCAAAATGTAAGAAGCCTTTGGGTTGTTTTGAGGCAATAAATGAGATCTGATTCTTATCTTGAAACACTCTAGGATTAGACTGTTAAAGGTCACTTTGGATAATCCATTCCTTATCACCAGTGACTATTATGTCCCCCAACCTCTGGGAAATTTGAGTATATATACAAATAACTGTGAGATGGCTGAAAGATAGGAGAAAGTCTCTTTCCTAATAGATATCCTACCTGGCTCTTTCTGTCAGTGTTGCTTTACCTTTTATAGCCCTGTAATGCTTAGAGTCATAAAAATTCAATTTTGTTTTTGGTTTCTCTCATTTTGATTTTTTATGTGGAAAACATATCCCTATAACAACCGTCAGTTTTTGAGGGGATGGACTGTGCTTGCTTTATATCACCCACAGTGTCTAACTGGTGTACAGGATCTTCATAGTTGTTGCTCAGTTTAAATTTGTAATGTAGGAAATTAATTTCCTGTTCCAAGTACTGGTTGGGAATTCACCATGCGTAAGGGACTGTGCTAGCCCTGACAGCATGCATTCTTGAATTCTGTCTTTCCTCCAGAGAAAAGGTGACAGCAATTTAAGATGCTGAGGATGTGGAGTCTTTTTTGCTTTGAAGTAATTGTTCCCATGGCAGTAGATTTGTTATAAAAGAAATCATTGTTGTTGAAGTTGAACGTCTTCCTTAGATGAGAACAGATTAGGGCTGAAAAGCTTCAGTGAGGGACACGGACACTTGTCCTGCCGCCATACATTTTGTCAGACAGACCACGGTCTTAAACATAAGCCTGGAGTGCAGATTGTGTTTTGTTTTCACTTGGGAACTTGTGTTTACACCAGCAGCCAACCGACCTGATAGATGGTGTTGGTCCTCACATTGAGAGGCCTGAGCCTTTCCTTTAGTTCTTGTTGGCAGGCCCTCACCAGCCTTTGACATACCCTAGGCTCTTGCATGTGGGAGCGCAGTGCAGGAGTTTGGCTTTGAACTCAAATAAATGGCTACATTAGGAGGCCCGTTTCTCTCCCGGTGTTAATGAGTTTAAACGTGATGCTTTCCAGGCATCAAATGTTTGCAAAATGTACTTCCCGCTGTCTACTATGCTTGGGAGCTACAGGCAACACTTCTTGGCCTGTGCTTGGATGTTCTGTATGATGAAGCAAAATTAAACATGTAATAAAATGCTTGTTTATAGAATGTATAATGTGACATTGGCTGAGGTCCTGGCTCTCAGGGCAGACTGCTTGGCTATGCCTTTCTAGCTATGGGATCCTGAGTGAGGTCTCTCTGTGTGTAGAGCTCATGCTTACAAAACAGAACAGAACAAAGAGCTGCTGGGAGGATTAGCGGTGCTGGTCCTTATAAAATACTGGACACATCGGTGTCGGTTGTTATTATTGCTTTTATTTATGCCAATTATGAGATGAGGTTCTGAAATTCCAATCATCAATCTCAATAGAACTACCTTCTTCACTGCCTCCCCACCAGTCCTCAAGTTTCCAGATGACCTGACTATGCTCTATTTCTTAACAATGAAAAAACAACAGCGATTCACTTTTGTGAGTGAGATGTCTATGGGGGTGAAGGATGCCTTTCAGAATACTCTCAGCTTTTGAATATCAGGCCTGCTGAGTTATCTTCCTGTATATGCTGCCATTGCCTTTAGTCCAGATATGCCTGATGCTAATTAATCACTTCCACGGAGAACTTAATGAGTGGCTTAGTTAGGATCGTCTTTGAGTAGCAGGCAGTAGCATCTCGTGCCAGTTCAATGCTATTGGCCAGCTCTCCCTAGTTCCTCTGGCTGAGGAGGGAAGGTCTTATGCTTCTGTGTGTCTGTCTGCTCACCTCAAGAAGGTTTCGGAAGTCCAGTGGCATCTGTGTTACATTCATGATGTGTCACATGTGTGAAAACAAGCCAGCATAACCACTCAAAATAAATCCACGGGGAAACTGAGATTGGTTATTGAATTCTTCTGATTGTGCTAAACAAGCAGGAAACATGTTGTTTGCAAGTTTTGAAAATGAGCCCGTGCATTCTTCATATAACAGAGTATTTCATTTTTCTGCTGAAAGCTAAAGTATTTTCCTTCTGGCATCCTCATTTTGTAAAAAATATATATATATATATATTTGAAATATTGCTGCATTGTAACAGAATGAAATCTGCACTCCATTTTCTTTCTCTTCTCCCCCTCAGGAAAACAAGTGAAAACTAGGCAAACGGAGCACCTTCCTGCCTTATTTTCCTATAGTAGTGGAGGGGGAGTTAGGCCCGGGAGGACCACCACATCACTCTCTAAGCTAAGGGGACTTAGGCCCGGGAGGACCACCACATCACTCTCTAAGCTAAGGGGACTTAGGCCCGGGAGGACCACCACATCACTCTCTAAGCTAAGGGGACTTAGGCCCGGGAGGACCACCACATCACTCTCTAAGCTAAGGGGACTTAGGCCCGGGAGGACCACCACATCACTCTCTAAGCTAAGGGGACTTAGGCTGGAAGGATCATCACTCCCTATGCCTTGCTCCAACCTTCCAGATGAACTACAACCTTGCAACATGATAAGGAATCAATACACAGGTAGCTTTTATTTTATGGAAAAGGGAATCCTTTAAGTGACGTTCACAGATGAGGACAGCAACTGTGCAAGGGGCCAGCTTTCCTGAGCATGTTTGCCCATTTTGATTGTTACAGGCCTATAGACGTCTGACTTGGGGAGATGATGAACTTCCCAGGAGGATCAGCTGAAATATTTTGTATCCAACAGATCGGCTGCTACTTCCAGGAGAAGTCGAACAGGATATAAGCGCCAGTGTTCCTGCTTATGTTCCTTCTGTGAACCTGCCTCTCACTTCTGAAGTGAAGCCAAAACCCACTGAGCGAAGAACTCTGAAGCAAATGGAAGAGGTATTCCCGGGGAATTCCATCGGGACAGTATGTGGGTTTTACCCTTTCAGGGAACCCCTATACCTGCACCCTTTGCATTTTCCTTGGTTTGGAATAATTTAGAGTTGGAGCTGTTTAGTTGGTCTTGCTTGTTTCCATCTGTCCCTGATGTACATAGAGCAATAGTGTTTGCATATAGAAACCTGGTTTACCTCTGTAGTTCTGCGTAGGGTCTGCAGGGCAAATGGAAGGACAGTTCCCTTCTCTCTCCTGGTCTCACCTGGCTGTGGCTTTTCTATCATCTCTGAGGTCCTGTAAACCTCTGTATTAGGTAAGGTAAGGACAGGATGTAAACAGAATCTCAGTTTGAAATCCATTCCTAAAAGGAGGTAGAAGTTCATTTCTTGTATTTAAACATTTGTAGAGAGTCCTACAGTGAACAGGTCAGTTTCTTAGAGTTATCAGAGATTAAAAGGCTCTGACTTGAATTCATTGACAACTGCTGAGTTGTTCATAGCTGGGCATGTGGAAGGCTGGGAAATGTCGTTAAGCATTATTTTCAGAAGTGGGAGAACGGAATCTCCGCTATAGTCTGTTCTCCCTAACGTATTACTTGAGAGCCATTTTTGCAATTTTTTTTTACAACTCTTCCTACCAGCATTAATAAATACACTGCAGGTGGGGCTGGGAAGTAACCTTTACCCTGTTTAACAGAGGGGATAAACATAGGCGTTGCTAAGGACTCTTTATTAGCACTTTCTAGCCAAATTCTAGGGTCCCTCTTTGGTTTCCTTAATCATTCAGGTGCTCTTGTAATGGTATACTCTGTTATGAATCAGTCATTTAGTCAGAGAGGACATACACATTTCAGTCTTAAATGGTTTTTTTTCCTTATAATACTTTTGTCTACCATACTGAAAAGTATACCCAAGATGCTTACAGGCTTGCATTGAACTCCCAAATTGGTTACTAGACAAATAAGTCAGGACAGCTACTTTCCAATATGCCTTTTGAATTATAGATTATGTTCTTTGAGCTGTAAGAAGCTAAAATTACAGGGCTTCTCAATACAGGAATCCATTTCATTTTAAGGCTTGTTTATATTCTTGGTTAGGCTGTAACCATACAGGTTGGGCATGGCATCTAGTACCCTAAGAGATGCAATTACTTTGATGTCAGTTATAGAATGTATGTATTTTGAGACAGTAATTGAAGTTATTATAAATTAGTTTCAGTTAGTGCTTAAGAAGCTTCTTCTGGGATCTATCCCATAGCCCACAAAACTCAAATTACAACTACAAGTATTATACCTAGGGCCTTGCACTTATTAGGCAAGCATTTATTTCCCCCATTTTAAAAATTAATTTTGGAGACTCTCATGAAATGTATTTTCATTAGATTCACCCGCAGCCCCTGACTCCTCATGGATACGCCCCTACCTCCCTAACCTCGCCCTCCCCTCCCCCCCCAGTTTCACACACACTGGTTGACTGGACTGCATGTCTACCGTGCAACGTGTGCTGCACTGGAGTCGCTCTGTAGCGCAGGCTAGCAGTTTTCTTGACTGAGTCTCGCAACTACTGATATTTTGTATGTAAGCTTGATTTCTTTTTGCTTGCTTTGATGTAACCAGTTCTTACTAGGTAGCACAGGTCGGCCTCAAACGTGTTCATTTTCCTGCTAGTAAGAGCTAATGATTATAGGTGTAATCATTATTTGTTGGAGAATTGTTTTAGAACCATCATAAATTACAACATTGAACCAATGCTTCCTTGGTTTAATAGCACAAATCTTATTTTCACCACCTAAATCATTAAAAGAATGCAATCATCAGTTTCTGGCGAGTGTCCTGTGAGGGACCGCCAAGGAGCCTTTGGGTCTAGAGCTGGTAGCTGCTTTCAGTGGCTTCTGTCTGAAAGTGCAATGCATTCTGTGAGTCCTGCTTCCTCGGGATTGCCTTTTCAGAACCCACAACTCTCAGGTATGGATGGGGTCTGTTTGATATTTCCCCATGATTTCGTTACTAGTTTATGTATGTACATTTGTCTCTTAGAGACATTTTTAACACTTCTGGCTTATTATTTGTCAACAAATTTTTGCCTTGATCCTCTGTTTTAATACATTTTGGAGGCTTTGAACTGCTTTCTAGAGCAAGCTAAGTTCATAATAGTGAGAGTGAGATTATGGTTCCTTTGAAGAGACAACCATGCAAGAGGTCAGTAGAGAAGCTTGAGGTTCCCTGTCTTCCATTTCACAATGGGATTCTAAACATTTCTCCACCGAGCTAGTTTATTTACCACATCACTCTGTGTTCTAGCTTGTAGCTAAATGCTACCGTTATTGATTTGAGCATTACTTTTGTGTTCCTTAATTTGCCCGTGTGGTATTATGAATGAAAATGTCTCCTCTTTTAGTAGCATCCCTGTAAGAATCAGTCACATGAGCGATTTTAAGGAAACTCAGTTTCCTAATAGTATACAGATTCTATTCCCATAGTGGTCACAAAAATTTTTCAATTAGACTTGAAATTAGATACCTGAAATCCACACATTTCTCTCAGCTCCTTAGGCAAAAATAACAAGTTAATAACTTAATTCACACTTGTTTTTTTGTTTAGCAGCGGGGGAGTTGGTGTTGTATAGCAACGATCCTTCTCCAAAATAAGCCAGAATTTCAATTTGTAGTTGAAATGTTGGCGCAGTAGAGCTTAAGATGCTGAAATAAACCCACCTTGAAAGAAGAAAGCTTCCAGGCTGCTAGGGCAGTCAACAGCTGGATCATGGAGCAAGCACGCAACCTGTCTGTGTTTGAAGGGGTACGATGATGCTTTCTGAATGGCATGGCACACCTCATTACACTTGGAATTATGTATCTGTGCGTATAAGTTTATGTTATTACAACATAAAATGTCAGAATGAACTCAGAATGAAACAGATATGCAACAAATATTTACCCAATAAACAAATACATGCATTCTTCCTACTAAGCAGGAGTAACTTTGTGCTATAGTGACATGGTTGAAGTCTGTCATGGTCTGGATATGATCTGTTACCCACAGACCCATGCCTTTGTATACGTGGTCCCCAGCTGCTGGTGCTATTTTTGGGGAAACCTTTAGGAGGTTGGGCTCCAGCTGGAGGAAGTGAGTTACTGGAAGCTGAATAGCCCAGCCTCTCTGCCTGTCCTCTGTCCTGCTCTGTGTAGCTGGGAACACACAACTGCAACATGTCCCCACATGATGACACCAAAAGTTGGGGCTGACCTTCCCTTGCTGTGTGTCTTTTCTTCTCTTTGGCATCTGACACTACTGCAAATGTGTAGTATTTTGATTTTGCAGAGGCTCGTGGTTTAGAGACACCCCAAGTCTCAGAAGAGACTCTGCTTTTGCATGTGTGAGTGGTTGCAAAACTGCTAAAGGCTATAGGACTTTTGAAGTTGGACAGGATTTATTTGTCATTATGAAAAAATCAAGAGCTCATGGGGCCAGAAAGGAAATGTCCTGGCGTAAATGTGCAATGCACCACATAGGGTAATGTCTAAACATTTGGTCTTCAGCTAGTGACAGTTTTTGGAGGTTGTGGAACCTTTAGAAAGTGAGAGAGATGTGGTCACTGGAGATGGGCCTCAAGGTTTTATAGCCTTGTCTACATCCTGTCCTTGCTATGCTTACTGGTCCACATAGGTGTGAGGAAGTGGCTGTCATATGCCCCCACCACCATAGAGCTATCTTCTGCCAATACTTTCCCTACCATGATAGGCTGTAGCCCTCAAAGTTTGAGCCAAATAAAAGTCTTCCCCCTTTTGTTGTTTTTGTGAGGTATTTTTGCATGATGACCTGAAATGAAGCTAATATAGTGTCCTTGTCTCTTTTCTCCTTTCTTAACCCCTCTCCCACAACATGTCACAATGATCAAATCTCCCCTCCCATTCTTGACAAAAAAGAAACAAATGAAGGAAAGGTTGCTTCCCTTGGACCTTTCTTTGGCTAGGGTCTGTTCCTCTCCTTTTTATCCATTCAAATTCATTAGTGCTTCTGGTTGAGTTCCTCTCCCCTCTGTTTCCGCTCAACTCCACTAGTGCCTCTGCCTTTTCTCTTCTCATTCCTCTCACAATGAACTGCAAATTGCTTTGCTGTGGTTGCCTACCTGAAAGTATTCAGAATGAGGGAACCAGGTGTAGTTCAGTAGCCCAGTCTTGGTGTGGGAAGTCCTTCTGTCCATGTGTTGCTTTTATTGGTTAATGAATAAATCTGTTTCAGTCAGTGGCTTAGCAGAAAAGGGTAAGGCGGGAGTTTCAAGCAGGTAGAGGAGGAGAGAGTAGTTGGAGTTAGGGAGAAGCCATGTAGCCACTAACAGGGACAGAGCCTCCGCTGGAGCCTGCCAAAACTTTGCTGGTAGGCCACGAACTTATGGTAATGTACAAATTAGTGAAGGTGGGTTAGTTTAGGATATAAGAACAAGCTAGAAATATGCTTAAGCTATTGGCCAAACAGTATTGCAAATAATATAGTTTCTAAGTGATTATTTCATGGTCTGAGCAGCCGTGAACTGACAAGTAGCCTCCCGCCTAGAGAGTGGTGTTTCCTTTTCTACATTTATGAGCATGGACATTCATGCCTGTCCTGCCATGTCAGTTTTCCCTTAGTCTCTTGATTTACTGGCTCTCACAATTTGTCTCTATTCTCTGTGTGTTTCGGTAATTGTTCCTTTTATCCTTCTTTGGAGGTTTTTGTCTACCCACTCCTAACAAGTCAGTGTTCCCCAGGGCATCATATACTTTTCCCTCCCTGAATGCTTGAAGCAGTTTTCGTCCTATATTCTTCCTCTTATGCTTATATCTCTAAATGGGCACGTCTAGCTTCAGGTCTTTTTCCCCTTGAGCTTCAGCTTTGCGTGTTTGATTGCTTTTTGACTTCTATATCTTCCAGGGATCTTCAGATGCACTGTATTCACAGCTGAGCATCTCAGCCTGTGCTTTCTCCTCTTCCTTCTCTATGTCGTCAGTCACCAAGCGCTGCTCTTTTCCTTCCTAAATGGTTTTCATATCTTTTCTACCGGTGCTTCATTGTCCTTGTCTCTTGCTTAGACTACTGGAGCAGAGTTCTGAGGAGCCTTCTGACTCTAGGCCAATCCCTTTGAATATACTATTTAACCTGAAGTGTGAGCTATTTAATTCTAATCTCCAATATGACAGGCCATATTTTTTTTTCTTTTTGGTGCTGCTAATACCTGCTCCATTATATGTGTTCATTAAACTCATTAAAACATTTGACAAAATGAAGGAAGTGCATATAAGACCAAGTGTCTGCCCTTGCTTTCAAAAGATTCTTCAAAAGCTTTTCATCATCTCTAAGATGCTGCTGCCACCTTGCCATTTCTTGCACTGTCCTCCTTACAGTTAATGCTCAGACAATGCTGAACCGCTTTCAGACGTGAAACCCTGCACCTTGTGTTCATAGCACGCTCACGGAAACCCTCCTGTCTTCAAAGCTGTTCCTCCCTCAGCTTGTTGACTGATTCTACTTAGGGATCCAGCCGTCTCCGATCCCTTCTCAGCCCACTCCAGTCTGGTCTATGTTAGATGCTCCCATTACCACTCAAACTCTTCCATTCTACCACTCAGGTGTGCCTGTGCCGACACAATCTGTTAGTGACTTTATGCAGGTCTTTGTGTTCTAGGAGCTCGCGCAGTGGCTAGGAATGTAGGAAAATGAACATTCTGGGACGAATGAAAGATCCCTGAGTGATTGCAGGGAACTAGTCTCTCACTTTGACTCAGTGAAGCCACACTGGAAGCTTATCCCCAAATGGCCTAAAATATTCTGAGGATCACACTCTGACTTTGCAAATATCTTTAGTTTCCTCTGTTGTGTTTCAGCATTTAGGTCGCATTCTAAGAAAATTATCTGCTCTAATAACAAACTTTAAAGTTCATTGTAAGTGGCTGTTTCTTGCATTGGCAAGTTCTAGCTTTTAGAAATCTCTGTTTTTGCTGTTATTTTGGTTAATTCACAATGTCTGTAGAAAATTATGGCAGCACAATGAAAATTCAACTATATGGGGAAAAACCCTTAAAGAAAAATGCTTTTTTTTTATTAAAGAGAGAATTTCTTCATCAGTAGTATCATAATACTACATATTGCAGCCACAATATGGACTGGAATCTCAGGAAAATGGAGGCATAAGAAGGCATGGGATGGGGCCATCTCTGAAGAACTAACTTAGCCATAGGAGTTGGCGTTGATCAGAAGCCTGAGAAGTCCAAGCTATGAGCCTTACTTTATCTTGACCACTAAGACAAGATGGTGGACAGTGAGGAGAGAGATGTGGGGGCTGGGGGTGTGTTCTGCAGGTGACATGCTCTGTCTTTCTCAGTTTTCCTAGTGAGGAGCATGCCACATGTCAGTGATGTCCCTTGTTACTGTCTTCTCCTTACAGGGAAGCCTGGAGACCCAGGTTTTGCTGTGTTCTGTTCCCTGTACCTAATGCTTAGCAACTGTTTACTGGTGAATAAGTAAAGGGTGGGGGAGACGGAAGTACGTTATGTACCAGGGAGTAGGAAGGGCATGGTATAATATCAGAGGAATTTCCATAGCTGAGAGACTTGTTTAAGTTGAAGTGATAGCCCAGCCTCCCTGGGATGTGGATGAAGGCCAGGTTTTTGCATGTGGTGAGCACGGATGTGTTCAGAGAATCAGGATGAGGTTCTGAATCGTAGTGCAGGACATAAGCCAGATCTCTGCAACTCAGTAGATGTGTTCTCTCTTGCTTTTAGACGAGGGCACAAAGAGCTTCAAAAATCCTCCGAGACTAAAACAGTCACAGAGACAGAGTTTCCTCTACATCTAGGCCAGGATCAGTAAGAATCAGGTGTTTACATAGTTAGGCAGGATGGACTGGGGCCTGGTCTGCAGGTTTCAGTATTCTACATGGAGTCGGCTTGGACGCTTGCATTCTGGACATGAACATCAAGTGTCTGTGTGTGTGTGTGTGTGTTTCTTCATTGGCGCGAGTCTTATCAATAGTGCTCCTCTGTTATTTTGTGCTGAAGATATCTAATTATAGAGAGTGACCGTGGCACATCAGCCACTTTCTTCTGCAGGCTAATTTGTGTGTGTGCAGCTGCTCCTTTGAAAACAGTCATGGCCTTACACATGGTCTTGAGGCATTTTCAGTGGTAGCTGTGGGAACTGTGCAGCTTATTCAGAGAAGGACTTTTCTTCCAAAGAACCAGTGTTTTTGAACTTGTTTTGTTTGTGTTTTTGAACAAATGTGGCTTTATTTGAAGCATATTGTCCTGGTTTCAAAAGTGGCCTATCTTCTTTACTAGCCTTGGGCAAGTTCTGAAAACCTTTCAAAGCTTCATGACTGGGAAGCAATAGCATGAGGACTTCAGTCAGCCCGGGCATAGTGAGCACAGCTCTAGAAGGCCTTGCTCTTTTCCTCTGTTCCCTCTGCCTTGCTAAACACCATTAGCTTATATTCCTAAAGCTAGCCACCAAGGTCTGTTCCTTTATTTGGCCACTTCCTCCTCCTGAGGCTGACAGCCAAGGTATAGCTATCAATGTATTAAAGTCCAGCAATCCCTTTGGCTATCCTAATTAAGACACCCAAATTAAAATTAAATACCTCATTCTAACATGAGGTTTCCCCATTTGCCTTTATAAACCACCATTTCCTATGTGCATGTCTGTCTCCTCTCTGTCCAGAGGCAGTCCTTTATCCTCCTCCAGGACAAATGCCTGTTCCCTCGCTCCTTTGTTCCCTTCACTCTTTCCCTCATCCTCTGTCTCCCCTCTTTGTCCTCTGTCCTTTGTCCCTCTATGACAAATAAGTCTCCTTTATGCTGAGAACTTGGTCGTGGGGTGTCCTGAACTGATACTGATCCTTTCAGTAGGTACTAGCAGGGCTGATAGATGGAAGGATACTGTTGATACCCATGTGGTTCTGGTACTAGGGCAGGCCCATGATAGTAACACATTCACTGGCAGCCGTTGACTTTCCTCCCCAGGAAAACACAGAGGAGAGGATCAGACCTCTGGAAATTGTTGGATCACAGCAGCTGATTTTATTGCTGCAGGGCAATGAGCGGCTGGGAGTCTGCTATTAGCACTGTACACCGTACTCCCTAATAGGACTCTGAAGAGCGAGGTGGGAAGCAGAGCTTTCCTGATGTCTTTCCACTGTAGTAGCAGCACAGAGCCTCCAAGCAGCTTGTTCCATTTCACACACACTGCAGAAGTTATTTGGGGAGATCATCTTCCATGCAAGAATGTTTAAAGCTGACACTACCTAGCTGCAGGGCATTTTTTTTTCATTTATTGCATAAGCCATAGTTTTCCGCACCACCATACATACAGAGTTGATGAGGTGCTGCGTGATTTCATCGTATCTCATACCATTGGCTTTAAGTGGGATTTTTCAGGGGTGAGTTAATGAGATTTAAGGCATTCTTTTCTGTTTACTGGAACATGTACTTTTTTGATAAACAAGCGAACAAATGAACAAACAGACAAATCTTTTCCCCATGCTGGGGACCAAGCATAGGATCTTGTGCGTGCCCGGCAAGCATTCTATTGACTGAGCTTCACTCCCAGCTTGGGAACTGTGCTTTGAGTGGCTCCGGCATGTTTATAAACATGTACAAAACTATTTCCTTTCTTTGCAGGTAATCCAACTTACAGGTAAACTGTCATATGTAAAACGGAAGAAAAGGGATGCTCCACTTTTAAATTTGATCATATGTGTTTTAATTTCTCCTGTTATGAGACAGGGGTATGGCTATTATTTCAAGTATGGTAAATTCAGGGTGTTTTTGTTCTTATTTTTAAAGATTACTTCATTAACAGATATTTTTTAGCAAATGGTGCAAAGGTTGGTCAAGACCTTAAGGTGTATTTCTTGTTTAATGGGTCCTTATGCCTCCATCTCTGACACTGCAGTGGGCAAAGAATGAACTGAATGTGTGCAAGCAGACCTGATTCTTGCTGTGGGGGTGGAATTAGTTAATGATACTCATTCAGATACAGCATGATACAAATGGGGCATATTAAGAGGCTTAAATTAGGTCAAATTGAATAATTGAATTTATTTCATTACTTAAAAACAGCTTAATCAGCTGTGAGTGCCGAAAGTCTAAAAAAAGTTTCATTAAATATTAATAGGCTGTTTATGTTTTCAACTTCATTTTCACTTCAGTGACTGTGTTTCTTTTTCCTTTGGTATTATTTTTTTTCAGATATTTGGAGATGAAGTACAGCCCTTCTTTCTCGATGAAGAATTTGATTATGACAATGTGGCTCTCACTCCCAAGTTCACTGCTGGAGAGATAGCGACCATCCAAGAGCTGGCCAAGAAAAGGACGATGGATTCCAATACAGACTTTTGTGAACACCATGACTGAGTCAATAGATGTCTTTGTGTTTAGTTTTATTTTGTCTATACGCAACCAACATTAGAATAAAGCATACATCAGCTGATTCCCTCCGTGGAAATGTATACATCTGCATTTTTTTTTTGTCTCTGTTGTTTATCACCAGGCCACAGAGGGACCAAGGCTGAAGGTATCACTTCCGTTTCTGAAGTCTCGTCTGTCCGTGGCTGGGTTCTGTGACTGGCTGGGAAGGTGGGACAGGGAAATGGGGACAGGAACTAAGGACTGCTGAATCTCCATTTAATGAGGGCACTGTCAAAGGGCACGTGCGTGTTGTCCTGAAGACTGGGAATAGAACCCATCTTATTAGAGTTTCAGGACAATTACCTGTTTCAAACATTAGTATAATTAATAGAATCACTTATAATGTAGGTCTTTGGTCCTATGTGTCCAGAGATGGTGATATCTATCTGTGTGGTTGTTGACAGATTAAGCTTCATGGAATTCTGGGATTAAAAACTTTACCATTAATTCACATATGATGGCCACAAAATACAGTGAGTGATCTTTGTCTCCAGAAGCTTAGGGCTGGAAAAGCAGAGCAACTAGAGACTGTAAAATGATAGCCTGGGTGCTGGTGAGAGGGCTCCGTAAGGTGCCTGCTGGGCAGGCCTGATGATTTTAGCTCAGTCCCTGGAACCAGTAAAGGTGGAAGGAGAGAAGTGGCTCCATAAAGCTGTCCCCTGACTTCCATGTGGGAGCCAGGGCATGCAACCCATACACACCCTTCCCCCACTAAGAATAAATGGAAATTATAAATGTGTTATGGGATAGTAGTTATGCAGACTGCTTACAGGGTTGCTAAGGGAATGGGTGGAGGGATGGAGAAGAGGAGATAAGGGGGGTGATATGTGTGGAATAATATTACTGAAGAAATCAGTAACAAATGGACTTGGTATTATTTCTCTCTTAAGTAGACTTTATATTTTCGCCATACGCTCCCTTTCTCTGCTCCCCCATGGTTAGCACCACACACCACAGAATATATTTGTTGCTGCTTTGGTTTGGTTCTTTCCTATTGTTGCTGCTCTTCTTCTCCCATGGTAAGATAAGAACACTTCACATGAGAGCCAGCATCTTTTTTTTTTTTTATTTAAAAGATTTTTTCCCCCATTTTATATACCAACCACAGTTCCTCCTTCCTCTCCTTCTGCTCCCCCTACCGCCCCTCCAAATCCTCCCCATCCACTCCTCAGAAAGAATTTGGCTTCCCATGGGGAGTCAACAAAGTCTGGCATACCAAGCTGAGGCAGGACCAGGCTGTTCCCTGCTAGCCAGGCTGAGCAAGGTATCCCTCCATGTGGAATGGGCTCCAAAATGCCAGTTCATGCACTAGGGATAAATCCTGGTCCCATTGCCAGTGGCCCCACAGACTGCCCAAGTCACTTAACTTTCAGAGGGCCTGGCTTGGTCCTATGCAGGTTCCCCAGCTGTCAATCCAGAGTCAGTGAGCTCCCAGTAGCTCAGGTCAGCTGACTCTCTGGGTTTCTCCATCATGGACTTGATCCCTTCGGGAGTCAGCGTCTTAAACGCTTGGGCACACAGTTCAGTGTTACAAGCTGTACACAATATTGTGGCAGATCTCCACGAATTGCCCACATGCTGCTAAAACCACACTCACTTATCTCCGCGGCTTCTCACAGTAGCTGCTTTCTCTTCTGAGCTAGACTGTTAGAGACACCCTATGGAAGTGGAGATGCAATATCTGCCCTTCAGTGACTCATGTATTTGACTTATAATATTTTCCAGATTCATTCACATGGCTACATATGGAAGGATTTGTTCTTTTCAGAGGCTGATTAGTATCACATTCTATACATAGACCATTCCATTCATCAGCTGAACATTTAGGTTGTTTCTATATCCTGGTTCTTGTGAGTCACACTGCGGTTGTGTTTGGGTATGAATGAGGAGTTGTGTGTGTTTATATTCATAAAAATGCTGTTTATAGACTTCACAAAAGAATTCTCCCAGTTTCATCTTTCAGAAGATTCACGTGATTTGCATATTTATTTTTATTGACTCAACAAACTTTCCCATTTATGACTCCAGCCTTATTTGCACTCGGCAGTGAGGAAGATCTAAGCATCGCAGAGCCTTTTAGTGAGGACGAGGGATACATGCATGGACAATTTTGGCAGAGCTTCAGTGCCCAGTGTAATAGTCATTAGCTGCATCCTGGTGTGTGGAAAAGAGATGTAGCCGCTGTGACCAAGGAGCTGAGTTTCATTATTTGATTTTTATTTCAAGAACATATTTACCTCACTTATCAGACAGCTTTCAAGTAGATTTGGAACAACGTTGGAATGTGAATCTGCTTTTTCAACTGTACATTTTGGAAATCAAAATGTTGGATTAATAATTATGTATGTACTAATATTATTTTTGATGACAATATTGTGTCTTCATTTAAAATATGCTGCATGGAAGATATACATTGGCACTTGATGAGTTAATGGGAAAATATTTAATCACGTTTGCATTATGTGTTTGAGTGACTTAGATTACCTGGCTAAATGAAATATATTATTAAAATTTATCATATTCTTTTTACTTTTTAAATGAAGCTACCAGAAAAGCATAAAATTATGCACATCATAGTCATGTTTTTATTCAGTGGTACCACAGCATATAGTGACCTGTGTCATAATCAAGTTGTACCAAGGGGTACTGGCCCAGAGCAAGTTGAATGTATTTTTTGCCTGGGGAGCATATCAATCAATTAATTAATAATCAATTAATTAATTTTGCTTTTGTCAATACCCAACAATAATTTAAGGCTTATTTTGTTTCATAGTTCAGAGAAATGCATTCTGTGATGGTGTGGAAGGCATGAAATCAGAGGTAGCTTCCTCCATGATGCCAACCAGGAAGCAGAGAAGGGGATGTCAGAGCTCAGCTGGCATTTCCCTTTTTATAGAAGGGAAAGTTTTTATAGTTTTTTTCCCCAACTGCTCAGCCCTGAGATAACCACACAGAAACTGTATTATTTAAATCACTGCTTGGCCCGTTAGCTCTAGCTTCTTATTGACTAATTCTTACATATTAATTTAACCCATCTCCATTAATTTATATTTTACCATAAGGCTCGTGGTCTACTGGCAAGATTCCGACATGTCTGTCTCTGGTGGCCACTCCATGCCTTCTCCTCACTCCACCTTCTTCCTCCCAGCATTCAGCTTAGTTTTTCCTGCCTACCTCTAGTCTGCCCTATTAGGCCAAGCAGTTTCTTAGTTCATTAACCAATAAAAGCAACACATAGACAGAAGGACCTCCCACATCATTTCCCCTTTCTTAAGGTTCCTGAAATATTTGAAGAATACCTATCTAATTGAAATATATCTCCATATATCTATAAAACCTAACTAATATGACTACAACTTTGGCTATTATAGATGATGATCTATTAACCTATATTTCTTACTTATCTATTACATTTTTTTAAATTTTTTTTATTGCGAAAAGAAGAAAAAAAACATAAACAAAAAACAAGTTTCCACCTCCTCCCAGCCTCCCATTTCCCTTCCCCTCCTCCCACCCTTCTCCCCCTCCCCCCACTCCTCCCCCCCCCCCCCCCCCCCCCCCCCCCCCCCCCCCCCCGTCCCTCTCCAGTCCACAGAGCAGTCCGGGTTCCCTGCCCTGTGGTAAGTCCTAGGTCCTCCCCACTCCGTCCATATCTAGGAAGGTGAACATCCAAACTGGCTAGGCTCCCACAAAGCCAGCACATTAAGTAGGATCAAAACCCCCTGCCATTGTCCTTGGTGTCTCATCAGCCCTCATTGTTCGCCATGTTCAGAGAGTCCGGTTTTATCCCATGCTTTTTCGGTCACAGTCCAGCTGGCCTTGGTGAGCTCCCCGTAGATCAGCTCCACTGTCTCAGTGGGTGGATGCACGCCTCATGGTCCCGAATTCTTTGCTCATGTTCTCCCTCCTTCTGCTCCTCCTTGGGACCTTGGGAGCTCAGTCCAGTGCTCCTGTGTGGGTCTCTGTCTCTATCTCTATCCATCACCAGATGAAGATTCTATGATGATATGCAAGATATTCGTTAGTATTGCTCTAGGATAGGGACATTTCACGTTCCCAATCCTCAGCTGCCCAAGGAACTAACTGGGAACCTCATCTTGGGCACTAGGGAGCCCCTCTAGGGTCAAGTCTCTTGCCCACCCTAAACTGGCTCCCTTAACTAAGAATTGTGGTTCCGTGCTCCCCTATCCACCTTTCCTTTATCCCAATTCTCCTGTTTCCCAGGTCCCCCCTCCTTCCCTTCTACCTTTTCTCTCCCCATCTCCCTTTACCCCCATCCCACCCCATCCCCAAGATCCCATTTTCTCCCCGGAAATTTGGTCTACTTCCCTTAGCCAAGAGGACAACTATATGTTTTTCCTTGGGTTCACCTTCTTACTTAGCTTCTTTAGGTTCACCTCTTGTAGACTCCGTGGTCCTTATTTATGGCTAGAAACCAATTATGAGTGAGTACATCCCATATTCATCTTTTTGGGTCTGGGACACCTCACTCAGGATAGTGTTTTCTATTTCCATCCATTTGCATACAAAATTCGAGAAGTCATTGTTTTTTTACCACAGCGTAGTACTCTAGCGTGTATATATTCCATACTTTCTTCATCCATTCTTCCATTGAAGGGCATCTAGGTTGTTTCCAGGTTCTGGCTATTACAAATAATACTGCTATGAACATAGTTGAACAAATGCTTTTGTCATTTGATAAAGCATCTCTTGGGTATATTCCCAAGAGTGGTATTGCTGGGTCCAGGGGTAAGTTGATCCCGAATTTCCTGAGAAACCGAAACACTGACTTCCACAGTGGTTGCACAAGATGGCATTCCCACCAGCAATGGATGAGGGTACCCGTTCCTCCACAGCCTCTCCAGCAAAGGTTATCCTTGGTGTTTTTGACTTTAGCCATTCTGACAGGTGTAAGATGATATCTCAAAGTTGTTTTGATTTGCATTTCCCTGATTGCTAAGGAAGTTGAACACGACCTTAAGTGTCTTTTGGCCATTTGAACTTCTTCTGTTGAGAATTCTC